TACCTGGTCCATTCCCAGATATAACTCACATGGTTCAGCGGGAGCCGAAATCTAGTCCAGCCCATTCTACACCCTACCTTGACTCTCACGAGTACTAGTGGGTGCTGCAGTCTAGCCCAGTCTGGCCCTCCCCAGACCCTGACCAGGCCAAGGGAGATTGTAGCAACAATGCACCGATTTTGGATCTCAATTCCAGCCCAGCTGGGGCATCACCTTAACTCCCCAACCAGGCCTATTCCCAGCCACGGGTCTTGCACGTGCTAACGAGGATTATTGTTCTACATGAGTGAGCCCACAAATTCCCCCTGCAGATTCTAACCCCCAACTTGATTCACTCATGTTTGTCAGATTCATGGCCCAGTCTCACAGTACCTGTCCCTTTGTCTGCTGTTCTCTGGTGGGTTCCATGTTGCAGCCCTTGAAGTAGAGTGGCCTTGTCCTTGGAAGTTCTGGAGAAGTCATTCCTCATAGCCATGAACCCTAAGGTGCCTGCTCATCCCTACCTGTGCCATCTCCCAGACTTCCTGGGACCCCACACCCCCAAGTTCCCAGAGCACATAGCCAGGTGGCCCACTGGCTTGGCCCAGCAGCATTAGCGCCTGGGCCAGATTCCCCCAGCCACATGGCTGGGAGATTGACATCTGTGCCTCTGTCCAGACTCACCTGGTTTCATTATTTCTTAACTAGTTATTTCTTTTGTTATACTAATTTTTGTTTTGGTTTGCTGTTTTCTCGATCCTTGAAATGCATTAATGGTTCATTTATTGATACCTTTCTGATATCTTAACATAGTCACTTGACTTTGCTATGAACTTCCCTCTTGGCACTGCTATTGCCATATTTCATGTTTTAATACATTGTGCTGTCACCCTTTCTGGAATTTTTAAATTTCCATTTTGGATTTCTTCTGTGATTCACTATTCAGTTTCCTTGTGTTTGTGTATTTTCTGGATTTGTTGGTTCACAGCTTCATTTCCTGGTGGTCCGAAAAGATATGTGGTATTATTTCAATGCTTTTGAATTTGTTGGGGTTTGCTTTATGACATATCATGTGGTATATTCTAGGGTAGGTTCCTTGAACCGATGAAAAGGATGTGTATTCTGCATCTATGTGATAAAATAACCTGTAAACATCAGCTCCATGTGGTCCATAGACAGGTTAACTTTTTTTGTTGTGTTTCTGGTCAGTCTGTCTCTTGATGATAGATGGGTGTTGAATTCCTCCATTATTACTGTACTGGAATATATATCCCCCTTAGATCAATCACCACTGTTTTAAATATCCAGATGCCCTTGTGTTGGGCACATATACATTAATTATAGACACTTCATGTTGAATTGAGATGCTAAGTCAGTAGGAAACAGACATGTTTTCCTTTTTTTTAAGATTTATTTTTTATTACAAAGTCAGATATACAGAGAGGAGAGAGAGGAAGATCTTCTGTCCGATGATTCACTCCCCAAGTGAGTGCAATGGCTGGTGCTGTGCCGATCCGAAGCCAGGAGCCAGGAACTTCCTCCAGATCTCCCGCACGGGTGCAGGGTCCGAAAACATTGGGCTGTCCTCAACTGTTTTCCCAGGCCAGAAGCAGGGAGCTGGATGGGAAGTGGAGTTGCTGGGATTAGAACTGGCAACTGTATGGGATCCTGGCGTGTTCAAGGCGAGGACTTTACCTGCTAGGCCACATCGCTGGGCCCCAGACCTGTTTTCTTGACAAAACCAGTGAAATATGTTCCTTGTTTAGGTTTAAGCATTGGCTGGTAGAGCACTTGATGCACACTTATTTAAACCAAGGCATGTGCTGAGGCCATGGCTCTCAGTGTGCTCTGAGAAACTAGTATAGAAGACACTGACAGCTGATGCAGGCGTCCACCAAAATGGCGCTATCTGCCCACTAGTCTGGATGTTCAGAAGATGCGAGGCATGTATTCCTACCCTCTGGTGACCATGCTATCATCTCAGTTTCCTTCTGAGCAAGGGGTCTGTTTGGTCCACGTTTCTATATTAGGCAATGTCACCCACTACTCTGACAGCCTCCTCTCCTACCTGTTGCCAGTAGTGAATCTCCCCACTGTTGCCTAATTGCTTTGGCAAGGGTTCTATGTGCATCTTTTTTTTTTTCTCATATGGTATTTGGTCCTGTACTACTGAGCCACTTGCTTTAAGTATTTCCCAAGCACCAGACCTCTGTGGGTCTTGTGACCCATTGGCCAGGCAGGGAGAAGACTCCGGTGGATTAGTTAGCTCAGAGCAGACAAGCTCGTGGTCTCCTCTCTCACCAACAGGAAACACCAAATATCCATGCTCAGAGATGAGCCTCGAAAGGTTTGTAGCCTTGTCCCAGATTGGGGAGGCTTCCATGACAGCCAGCACTTTCTGGTGACTGCTGGGGTCCACTAGACACCTGGCTGTCCCTACAGGAAAGGGTAAAGCGCTCCCCTAGGAGTATTTGATTGACTCAGTGACACCTGTCCTCCTGGTGATTCAGTGTTCAAAGAAGGCTCTGCACCTGACTGCCAGGTCAGCTGTAAGGCTGCGCTGTATTCTGCAGGAGGCCTTGCCTTCTCAAGCTGGCCAAGGAGTAAACAAGAGGCCCTGGGTATCAGCTCATGACTGGGAACACGCTGCCTTCTCCATCTGCAGAACAGAGGTGGGCAGGAAATGCCATCCAAGGTTAATATGCACAGTTAGTGTCTGGGACACCTGTCCTCAGCTAACCTGCAAGGCAAACAGCAAGACCCTGGCCTAGCATGTTCTCCCAGGGAATGCCCAGTACTGAGGACAGGGACAGAGGCTGCCTCCCTCCTCTGCAGGTTCAAAGAGACATTCCAACTGCATCTGACCTGGGGGTTAGGAGCTGACTCACTTCTCATCAACAGTGCTCCAGCCAGAGTGGTGTGAACTCTCCCGGGTCCAATCCACTTGTCTTGGCTTCAGCATCACCTGATCTGCTGGCAGGCTTCACTCCCCTTGCTGCAGGGTCCATCATTTACCTCCAGGAAGTCAGCTGTCATAGGTTACAGTCATCATTCCTACCCCTGGCAGCCTTGACTGTGGTCATTATTTTCACTCCATAAAAGAGAATTGACACCCAGAGAGCTAGGCTTTGGTGTTCACTGCAGTTTCCCCAGAGCTGGGCACAGAGCAAGTACACAGTAGCTTGGATGAATGAGGAAGAGGAGTGGTGGATGGTAAAGGACCCTGTCTCTCTCTGCAACCTGGGAACAGGGAGCCTTTATCTGCAGATGTGAGCAAGGCCCCATGGGCAGTGTGCTCCTAAAGGAGGTTGATCCTGACTAGAAACTGGGATGTCTGTTCCTGGGTTAGGAGGCTGCAAGGGGAAGAAATGTCAGCTCTGGGGAGATCAGGGTGAACTTGGCTGCAGCACCATAGCAGGTGCTCAGGGCCTTGCTGACCTGCTGTTAGCACCACATCTGAAGGATCATGCCTCGGAGAGCCCTAGCTTTGACAGCCACTGGCCCGCCCTGGAAGAAATGATGCACTAGAAATGGGGTGACATGTTACAGAAACGTTGCTTCTGAAGAAGCCAATCAGAAACCAGAGCCCAGCCCTCATTTGGTAGAAGGGGAACCTGAGGCCCAGTTCTAAAAAAGATCATGCAAATGCTGTCCCTCAGCAGATGATGGCTCCTGGTGGAAGGGGCTTAGAGAAGTCCCAAAGTGGCTCTGTGCCAGTAGCACCACCCAGCATCACTGACACCTGACTGGCACCTGCTGCACTCTGGGTGAGGCCCCAGGCACTCCACCCGAGTCACCCATTCCATCTTTCCACCTGACACCAAGGCTAGGATACTTTACTGTCCCCATTCAGCCTCTGAGTAAGTTGGGCCTGGCATTTACGAGACATGTGTGTGAGTATGGTGATGAGCCAAATGGGCGGGGGCTCTGGGCTGATGTTTCCCTGGAATCCAGAGAGTGCAGAACAGGTACTGGGTCTCTATTCAGGGAAGCTGCACACTGAGGGGCCATGGTGCAGGCAGACACAGGGGTCCCGAGGTGACTCACCGCAGGGAGTTCTGTGGCTCCTGGTTTGCATAGGCATGTACCCAGTGACTTACTGTCTGACTCAGGTCAAGCCTGCTGAGTTTAAACAAACAAACAAAAAATTAGAAACCTCATGAGGAAGTTACAGGTGCAGTTTTCCCAGAATCACTTTAAACTAGAGGTTATCTGATGGCACGCAAGGTTAAACTTATCTTCTGCAATACAGTAAGAAATGACCAGCAGTTGTTTTTCCCATAATGGGATAAGGAATTAATTCAAGAAAAATGAGTGTGTTTCTTCTGCCATGAGCTATTATATATTCCTAAAAGTAGTAAGAGCACCCAGGAGTGGTGACCGCATTTCCTTTTTCTTTTTTTTTTGGTAACATAGAGCATCAGCAGTGGGCAGAAGAATGCCAATGGGTGGAGGACAGCCCAGAGCTGGTCCTGACATTTTCACTGTCTTAAAGTCAGCCTGAAAGAAGTGGCTAAAGAACCTCAGCTTAGAGCAGAAAGCCCAAGGTGGGGGCTAAGGATGGGGTCCAGGCAGCACAGAGGGCCCACCTGCCAAGGAGGCACCCTGTCCTGCTCTTCACCCACCCTGGACATAAGCCCTAAACTAGTATCACCCCTTGCCCACCTTACAGCTTGAGAAGGCTCCTGTCCAATACATTCAAGTACCAGATGCCCACAGGTGCCCCTGCCTCAGCCAGTTCACCTTTTTAGCAATGGAATTTGATGAAACTAGCCAGTTACCCCAGACCCCCAGAGCTGTTTCTACCCTCTGTTACCCCTGACATACTTACTTGACAGTGACAGAGCTCGTGGCCTAGTAGGTGACAAGGTGCCCTGAGCAGCCTTCACCCTGACAGGTGACTTAGTTTGGCCCGAGATGCTGTGTCCTGGTAGTAAGCTGAATGTTGCTCTCAGAGCTCATACTGTGGAGCCACCCGAGAGGCCTCCATGTCACGCCCTCTTTCTGCATCTGTGTTGCAGCTGGTGAGCGACTTGCTGGAGTTTTGTTTCTACACCTTCCGAGAGTCCCAGGCCCTGAAGGTGGAGTTCCCTGCCATGCTGGTGGAGATCATCAGCGACCAGCTGCCAAAGGTGGAGTCGGGCAACGCCAAGCCCCTGTACTTTCACAGGAAGTGACGGGGCATCTTATGAGAAGAACTTTGCCTTAAGTTTCTCCGCGTGATTCCTCACCTGTGAAGGACCCATGGAATCATCTTTTTCAGCGTGTGACGGTTGATTCACACCGTTCAGCAGTTTCTCAAGTTTAAAGTTGTGTCAAGGGTTTGGAGCGAGGAAAGCCATTTGATGTGGAGTTGGCACGTTCTGAGCAGCCTAAAGGATTCGCCCCCTCTCCAATCCCCAGTGCTTGGAAACCAGTTCCTGTTCCTCTGGATGAAAAGCCATATCTAGTCAATAACTCTGATTTTGATATTTTAACAGATGGGAGTTTTAACTATGCCATGTAGTTCCTGGTATCATTTGCTTGTTTTAAAAGGGTTTAAGGACTAACAGACTTTTTGAAGCTCACCCTTGGTTTGCACAGAAACGTAGAGTCAATATGGGGCATTAATATTCTTTTGTTATTAAAAATACACACAAAAAAGTATATACAGATTCCTGTTTGTGTGATAACAAAATGCGTGGCCTGGACTGGCGCCCCCTCCCACCCTGGGCCCAGTCTACTGTACCACCAACATACACTTGTTAGCGTCTGTTTATTATTTAATTAGTATGGATAAGATGTTAAAGCAAATGCCTTGGTTTCCATTTCTAGTATCTACTGTGTTGGCTTTACAAATAATTTTTGCAGTCTTTTGCTGTGCTGTACATTACTGTATGTATAAATTGTGAAGGACCTGAAATAAGGTATGAGGAACTTTTGTAAATGAGACACATACAAAAAAAGAAAAAAAAAACTTTAATGGTTAATAGGATGAATGGGAAAGTATTTTTGAAAGAATTCTATTTTGCTGGAGACTATTTAAGTACTATCTTTGTCTAAAAACAAGGTAAAAAAATTTTTTTGTAAAGTGAAATGTTCTGCATGCCTAATGAACCGTTTACAGTGTATTTAAGAAAGGGAAAGCTGTGCCTTTTTTAGCTTCATATCTAATTTACCATTTTACAGTCTCTGTTGTAAATAACCACACTGAAACCTCCTCGGTTTGTCTTGAAGCCTTTCTACCTTTTTCTGTACTTTCTGTTGGTTCTTGGTCTCCTGCTGGGGTGTCCCTGGGACTCTAGCTTGTCTTTCTGGCTTCTGCTTCATTCTACCATTGATCCATCCGGGAACAGCACTGCAGCGCCCCGCCCACAGCAGCTGGCAGGTGTCACCAGATGGCGCCCATGGGAGAGCAGCAGCTGCAGGAGAGTGAGGTGCCTCCGGGGGGCCAGCTGCCCATGGCCCCCAGAAGCAGTCAGCTCCGGGAGAGCGAGGCTAGGAACTCAGCTCAAAGAGAAACATTTCCTCCCATTTTACAAACTCTAATTTTCCCCTCTTGGGGAGGAAAAATTCCAGGCACTCCCTGTCTAAGCTCAGATCCTCACTTCTGACTTTCTGCGTTCCCAGACTCGGTCATGGGAACACATCTATATCTATAGATAACCCCAGGACACACTGGATGACCCACCGGGGCAAGGTGCAGTCAGAATGGCATGGAGACCAGAAGATAATGGGTTTTTAGATTTTTAAAAGGTAGGTTTTAAAAAATAAATTTTATACATTAAAAACAATTTTGGAAAAAAAATTACAGATCATGTAAGCAAGACAGTGGCACTAAAATTTTGTAATTCATTAATCTGTTCGGCACTGATGCAATGTATGGCTTTTCTCTTGCACCAAATCACAAACATGTATCTTTGGGGAAACTAACAATATGCACTAAAGAAACTACTTGGAGTAGAGGCCAAATTAATCTCTGAACTGTGATGGTAATCATGAGGTTCTAAAATGATACTCATGTTGTTTTCCAAAATCTAAAACCTGGAGAAGGCTGAGGCCAGGAGAAGCAGCGACAGAGCCTTACTTTTGCCAGGGTTCACCATGCAGGCAACATTACCTTGTCTTTCAAAAGATACCTGCCTTCCGCAAGGGGAAACCTGTGAAAGCTGCCCTGGGAGGGAGAGGGATTTTCTTACATCATTTGCAACTTCAGGAATTTAATTTCTAGGCAGATCTTCAGAGTCCACTGAACACGCACAGCAACAGGACAGCCTCACTCCGAAGGCATTATCTACATCGCATGCAGATGGGGATGCTCCTGGAAGAGAAATGGCTCAGGAGAGCAGCTTTCAGTTCAGACTTACTTTCTTTAGGCCATTGGGATCTGAGTGTAAGCAGGTGTGGGAGGGAGACGGTCTGCATCAACTTTCTATATTAACAAAGTTACTGGCTCTTTGTGTGTCTCCGGGTAACTCTGCTTGATGAAACAGCAAAGCCATATTCTAAATTCACTGTTGAATGCCTGTCCCAAGTCCAAACTGTCTGTCTGCTCTTATTTTTGTACCATATTGCTCTTACAGAATCTTGGTTTGGTACAATTCATAATTCACCAAAACTTCTTCATATAATTAAAAAAAGACACTAAAGTTAGTTTAAATGAAGTAATTTATATCTTTATGCAAAAACATGTCTGTCTTTGCAAAGGACTGTAAGCAGATTACAATAAATCCTTTACTTTAAACACTTGTTGCTTGGGTAGCAGTTCATTTGAAGGTTCAGATACACCTGGACTTCTATCACCTCTCAAATCTTGACGAGATGTGCCTCTGCCTACATCTGAGAAATAGGTGGCTGGTTTTTGCCATGTGAAAGTCCTGTGTTAGCCACACGTTAGCATTCCTCTGAGGATGTATCAGATCCATCTGCTTTTTACAGGAATTTGACTGCTATCATGGAGCTACTAAATACGTATGTAGCTCACTCAGCTTCTCAACCACATGAGCACTTGCACGTCAGATACACTGTGAGACTTACCTGAGTGGACCAAAGACGCCCATCTGACCTAGGAGTCCTTCATCCGCTGGGTGTCACTGTCCTTGTCCCCCAGGGCTGACAGCAGGTTCAGCTCGTGGTTGGCTGGGATCTCGCTCATCTTCCTTAGTTTTTGCTCCCAGATTCCAGTTAATGTGGGCAAGAAAGGAGTAATAAGTGATGATCAGTTCACTTGTAAATAGAAAACACTTTTAGTCTCCCACAAGATTAATTCAAGTGCATTTTTAATGTGTTACTGAACAGGTGACCATGTAGAATACTTGCTTTCAGGACAAGGAGACTATCTGATCATTAGCAAACACAACTTAGCTTTAATGCGTAAGTCCAACTATGGAACCCAGTTTGGCAGAACACAACCCTGCAAGAATATCTTGCACACATTAAAGTAAAAACAATCCTATACGTGCAGGCAATGTTGTGTACTAAAAGCTAAGACCCGTATCCTATTAGGAGGGAGGGCCTTGCAGAGAGAGCACCTGATGTGATGCCCAACCTGTCTTGGGAAGCAACTCCCTCCCTATGTGGCCCCACGGTTGTAGCTGGTGCCATGTCTGAGCTGAGGTGGCTTATTCCTAGGTCAAGCGTAAGTTTATTTCTACAAGTTTCTCAAACTACTCTCGGGCTGAAAAGAATTCCGCCCCACACTTAGGAATTAGCCAAGAACTGAGCTTCAGTGAAAGGCCATGTAATCTGTAATATCAAAAATGATGCCAGCAGATGTATAGAGAAGTAGTGATTTGCTGCTACCTGTTGAATGCCTCCAAGCAAATTAAACATGTCTTATCCCTTTATGTAAGTTAGTCCTAATGTCCTTTTTGAGGAACTGTGCAAATAGACAGTTTTAAGGTTTGCTTTTTCCAAAGGCAGAGCAAAAGATGCAGGGGAAGAGTGTCACAGGTCCATGTACGCACCATCACCCATGGCTTTCCCAGACTCATTAGCAAGGAGTTAAAATGGAAGTGAACCAGCTGAACCTCAAAATTAGCACTCTGATCTGGAATACCAGCATCACAGGTGGTGGTTTAACCCACTGCATCACAGAATTGGGCCCAGTGTACACACTTTGTATCTCTGACCTTTTGAGTCTCTAATTGCTAGTGCAGCAGTTTTCTTTGAAAAGGAAAGCTGCGTCCTAGGCACTAGACAAGACTGAGATCAGATCTCAGCATTCAGTATGAAACAAGACTACCCAAAGCAAAGTACAGCAGGCAGCAAGTTGGCTGCTGTTACCTAACAAACTACTCCCCCCATCTGGTGGCTTAGACTAAACCATTTCTTATTCTTCATGAGCTTCTTCATGTATCTGTGGTCAGCCTGCAGCTGTCTGGCCTTTTGTGGCTTTGGTCCAGATGCGCCCTTTCATTCTCCAGCAGGCCAGCTGGGGCTCCTTGTCATGGCAGAGGTGGAATTCTAATGGAAAGGTCTAACACTTTACAAGCTTCAGATAGCATCAAGATAACTCCTGTCCCACTGGCCATGGCAAGCGACAAGGTTAAGCTCATAGTCAACAGGGCTCCCTGAGCAGCGAATACACATGGATCCAGCTGTGACCAAACACTGGAATGATTAAATTCACATGCCACCAGCAGTTCTGCAGATACTATTTTGTACCACTGTGCGTGTTACCGGGACAATGGTTTCCAAGATTTCCATTGCCTGGAATCCCAATTTCTGTGGCTCTTTGGTTCTCCTTGGCCTGGATCTGCTCATCTCTCTGGGTCTGCATCTTGATTGCACTCACCCCATTCCACACATGTTCTCTTCATTGCTAAATCCTACAAGGAAGACCCTTGGACATGAACTCAAAGCCTGAGCCACTGACAGGAATCCCAGGAATATTTACTGCTCATATTCAAGGTATGGGTCTCTTTTTTTTTTTGGTGGGGGGGTCTTCTTTCCTCACAAGAGATCTACAAAGTATGCTCCAGAGCCAGCAGATTGAGTTATGTCTAGCCAGACACTAAAGCAGGACAAGGAGCCAGTTGGCCCCAACACATGATGGCCCAAGCCAGCTGAGGGGAAAGGGTGCAGAAAGCACCTGAGAACACCTCCACAAAGTTAGGAGCTTGAGGACACTCAGGAACAGTGACATCATCACACACAGGAGAGACCATGTGGGGCTCAAGAAGGTTCAAAAAGTCACAGAAACCCTGCAATCAAGGCGGGAGTCACCAGGACTGGCTTTGACTGGCTTGGACAATCTTGGCAAGAAAAATGAAAAGGAGGTGGCCAACACCAAAGTGAACAAGGAACAAAGTCAAAGCCAAGATGGAAGGGGTGGATAGTGTCCTCAGAAGCAGGTGACAGACCAGCAATGGACAAGACACTGCTTTTGGAGACACAAGGGCAGCAGTAGAGAGGGGAGAGAGTCTCACTGCCACCTCCACATGGTGCACGCAACCTGAACCTGCCTTCTGCGTGCCACATCTTCTGCCAGCCCCCTGCAGCAGTGGACCCTCCTGATTATTTCCTTACCACAGCATCTTGATGCAGTCAGTACTGCTCTCTCCACTCAGTGAAACTGAGGCATGAAAAAGCCAAGCAGCTTACATGAGGTCACCAAAGTACAGCAATGGACATCACATTCCAAAGTCTGGTTTCTAACTCAGAACATGTGCTACTAGCCATGGCATCTACTTCGTTGAACCACTTATCATAACTACAAACTGGGTGGCTTAAAGACTCTTTCCAAAGAAGACTGGGAGTCCTAGAACCAGGTTTCAGTGGATTGCTTCCTTATACAGATCTGTCTAGACCTCTTCCGTCGCTCATGCATAGATGCTGTCTCCCCCCTATGTCTCCCTCTGGTAACCTCCCTCGAGGTGGGAATAGGGCCCGTCCTCACCTTAACCTGTTTCTTCTCATCTTCCCATTGGCAAACAAGGTTGCATTCGCAGCTACTACAAGTTAGGACATCAATGTATCAATTTGAAGGGGTAAGGCACCACTGCCCTGTAACAGCCAGAACAAGACAGCTAGTAAAGCATAAGAGCTGATGACTAGCACACCTAGCAGCATCCTAGGAACCTAGCAATGTTTCTCTCAGTAGGAGCCAGGATAATCCCCAGCCCAAATACCCATCACTGTACCCACATCCCAATGACAGATGTTCCTGCCATTGTGCCATAAGCTCTTGGCTTTACTCTCACCAACATCTTCTTTACAGGCACAATGGCCACTGGAGAAGGCCCCGGGGGACACCATCAGACGCAAGCTCCACAGCCCCAGCCAAAGCAAGAACCAAGCAGCCCAAGTGCCCTCTTTAGCCCTAAAGTGAGCCAAAGTTAGGCTTAGGCACACAGGCCAGACTTTGCAGACATTCAGAGCCCAGCCACAAGCCTCCAGCAAGCACACAACCAAATACACTGTTTCTCTCCTGGGAAAAGGGCCATCCTCCAGTGTAAGAAAACTCCTCCTGATCCCATTACTAAGTATATTTTGGGCCATACCCAGGAAGAAGCTCCCTGCCAGAGGCCTTGGCAAGACTGCCACACTGGTACTCAGAGTCATGTTCTTGGAGGAAAACTCCAGCCCTACCTTGTTCATCCCCAGATAACCAGAGGTTGGGTCTGTGGCTTGTAGGGATACGACCACCTTTACAGCTGCAATGTGGTGGGCCTTCAATCACATCACACTGGCGTCCTGCAGACCAGATGGCCCTGACAGTGTTCTCAGCAGGTCCATGAACTGACCACCTGCTACACCCTGGACATGCTACTCCTGTTAAGCCACCTCCACTCCAAACCTTTTGGTATCACTTCCTTTAAAGGAGGCAGGGACGGAATCATGGGGCCAATTTCCTCTTGGCCAAGGTCACAAAAGGTGTCCAATCTTAGTGATTTGATTAACCAAGCAGGAGAAAGCTCTTCTAGGGTGATGGCTGTAGGGTGCAACTCACTGTCAACAACAAAAACCCAACCCTAAGTAAGCAAGTACATCACAACCTGGTGCAGTGAGTCTGTACCAACTGGCAATGATACCTGGAGAGTGCCTCCCCACCTGAACCAAGCCATGCTGTCAACAGGTGTGTCTTATTTTTTTTTTTTTTTTGCAGGTTTTGGTGATAGGGATATACCATACTTTCCTTTGACATGCCTAAACTTCTAAGCAGAGTAGGGAAAGGGACTGCTAGAACACAGGACACTGAAGGTTAGGCCAGCACGCCCTAGGCAGAGGCCTTGGGCTGGATGGGGTAGAGTGATGCTGGCTCCTCAGCCATCTCCATGTACTCCACTGAGGCAACCATGGTTCAGCATTTTAAATCACATCGCACTGAATTCAACAGTAATTTTCAAAGGTACATCCCCCCAGCATATACAGTCCCAAACTCAACAGTCTCACCTAGTCCTCAGGAGTTAACTTGAGAGGTTGTTAGCCAGCAGAGCAGCGAACTCTTGAACCATCCAGTTCATCCAAGGGACGGGAAGCAGGCACATGTTCATTTCAGCAAGTCCCCAAGACAGAAATCTGCAGGAAGAAGCCTCCTGTAGCCAGAGACAGAACAGGTCCCCAGCAGCCTCGACACAAGGCAGGCTTCAGGATGCCACAGATGTTGAAGCTGAGCTCCACACTCCCAGAGGCCAGCTGGGAGCTTGAGCCTGGACTCAGAGGCTGTATACACACTAGAACAGCCATCAGTGTCAGACATGGGGTCCATGCTGGGTTACCCTTACAGGTTTCTCTAAAATGCTCTGAAGGCTTTGAGCTGCCAGCCTGGGACCACTCACAGTTCTGTAGCACCAAGGCCTGGAAGACCAAGGTATGTTAGGGTGTGGGTGGGAGAGAGCTGAGCAGGAAGCTGTTCACAGACAGAACACAGCTCACACCATCAGTCGTGTCATGTCCCACTCCAGGCCGAAGTGGCCAGCAAGAGACACCACCGTGAGGGATGCCACACATCCTGCCCCCAGGAACTCACCCTGCTGTGGAGAGTGAGGCTCCCTGTCACCACAGTGTGCCATGAGCATACACCTGCATCCAGGGAAATCAATTTCCCACTGTCACACTACTGCCAAACCCTAAGCTGTTAGGGAAGTGAGCTCTGTGAACTCTTTCCCACAGCAGGACAGACACATGGAAAAGTGAAGTACATTTTATTTCATTTACAGAGACCTCGGAGCAGAAAAATGGTGTTTAGGCAAAGAGCACACAGCTGAGGAGCACCAAAGAGAAGCTGGTTATAAATACGCCGGAGTGCTCTGTGGGTGGAGTGAGCATAAGTGTGGCTGGTGCCCCCCAAGGAAGGAGAAAGCTTCAAAAGAGCATCTCCGCTTTCCTCTGGGTCAAGACCATGTCCCCTGGCACCAGAAACAGCCCCCTCGACGCCATGGTGACCAGAGGCATGCTAGTGTAACACTGCGAGGACAACAGGCCTTTGTCAGATCTCAGCAGCAGGTGCACTGGGAGGGACCAGGAGCTTCGGTAGGTGGTAGGGCACAGTGGCAGAAGGCCACCCTCCCATCTGTTCTACAGCTGAGTAATAAAAAAATCTCAAATCCTGATGCTTGGTAGATGAAAGGTCCTTTCTGTCCATCTAGCCACTCTTGATCCACACCATCTGCAGCTCCAGGCAGTGACGTCTAATCCCCTCCATGGCCCTGGGGTGTTGGCGGTGGTGGGGAGTTCCCAACTGTGTAGGTGGTTGCATGGCCACTCCCAGCAGGTGCTTGGGTGCCAGAGTCAGTCAGGGGTCGGAGTGGGGTCAGGGAGCTCCAACACCAAGGAGCTACAGTAGTTTGACGTAATTCTGTGGAATCAGTCCCCTCTTGCCGTTCAGAGTCCCTTCTAGCCAGCCAGGCTCCCTCGACGTTTGCACTGAAAAGGGAAGAGAAATCACTTTTGACCAAAATTTTCCCAGGTACAGGCTTCTTGGTGTTGGCTGCACCGTGATGAATCCTGATGGCTCAGCAAGTCGGCTGTCTCAAGGCAGGGGACAGGCTCAGCTGGGCTTCCCATCACAGTTCTCACCCGCCTTCCTTAGCCTCCAGCTGGTCTCCCAGCTCCCCATTTACACCACCATGCAGAGTTGCTCAATGAATGTTGCCCTACCTACCCGCAGCCCTTCTCAGCAGCCTGCACACATATACCAGGGCCCTGGCCCTGCACACCTCCTATCAGAACCCTTCTGCTCCACAGCCTGTTGGCTGGGAAGGCGTTCCCCTGGCTGCCTCAGCTGGCAAGCTTCCCCTCAGGAAGCCTGGTGATCTTAGGAATCCACTTCAGCCTTCTCACACTTACAGGCCTCATGGGCCTTGGCCGACCACTGGTCTGTATCCCACACTGGATGGGGAACTCATGAGAGCAGGCCTCGTCCTTCACAGTCAGGGCACAGAGTCCAGCCCTTGCACATTTCTACAGAGAGCTGCAATGCATCCACAGCCATGGGCACAGGGTCCAGGTTGCCAGCAGCAGCACGTGAACATCAAATGCAGAATCATTTAACAACAGGTCCCTGTGCAGGTTCCCAAACACAGGTGGGAATGACAGGGCAGTTGTGGCCCACCAAGCAGATCAGCTCAGAAGCTGGCTGTGGAAGGCAGCTTCCCACCAGAATCCATGAGGAAACTTACATCAGCAACCAAGTCAGTCCGTCTCTTTTTGTCTCTCTCTCGTACACACAAACACACTTTCTGAAGTAATACTCAGCCTCACTATGTCTCTCTTTATCCTATGACATTTTGAATGCCAGTTGCCACTCAGCAAAGTGAGTTCATGGCCCCATGAACACACAGCAAACACCAACTGGCAAACACTGATGTTTGATCCAGTTTTATTTGTTCTTTCCAACAAGGTAATCAATCAATTGTTCCTCCCCCTGCCCCTTGAATGAAATAAGTGTGCACGCCAGATGTCCGCATCACACCCTGACCTTCTGTTATTCCTTTCCCTGCCCCAGCCCCACAACAAACTTCAGACTTGAAAGCCTCTACGTATCTACTTCTTTGGCCATGAGGTCCTCCTACCCCTCACCCTAAACCTGGGCAGCACCACTGGATGCGGCAGATATCAGCTTGAGCCACTGGGATTCCCTTATGCTCCAGAACTGACTGCTGATGGGTCCCACCTGTTCCAGGTATAGGGTTGCTGCGGGAAGGGAAGCTGAGACTTCTGTCTCATCTAGGCTACACCATGAGCTGTATCATATATAACATAACTGCATACCTAAGACATGAGACTTCATGTTCCCCAGTGCCTCACCCAGAGTCAGACACATGATTATCTGTGCAATGAATGAACAAATGAATCAAAGGTAATGTTCTCAAGGTGATCTGCCAGCAAAGTCACTTGGTTCAATGACCTCGACATTGATGCAGTTCCCAAGAAAAGGAATTCTGGGGCTTCTCACTTCATCCAAATACCCAGGCTGGCAAAACCACTCCATGCAGCCACCAGCCCAGAAAAGGACCCTTGGGGTTGGAGTAGCATATAGCCAAACAAGGGCCCTAAAGTCAGAGGCCTTGAAAGAGGCTCCCAGCTGACGAGTGCTGGAGAAGGGTAATGGGGGGCACAACCTTGGAAACTTTCTTCCCTTCACAGGCTCTTTCTCTACTAAAGGGGGTCCTGGGACTTAGCTTGCAGCAGGCACTCAGACTCGACTGCAGGGCCCAGTACAATAGTTCACACAGAACCACCTTGACTATGCTGTCTCTTTTCCAACACACATGCTAGCACATTAGTCAGATACAGTGTACTTAAGAGTAAACAAAGCTGTGTGACTTCCCACAACAGGGGCAACAGGGAGAGGAGGGAGCAGGGCCAGGCCAGAGATCCTTAACAGCCACTAGCAACAGAACAGAGGCTTGTCCACTTCAGGGTACCTCCCTGGAGGGCAGCAGCCAGTGGGAAGACAAGTGGCACTGTGGATACCTGTAATAGCCAAGAGCTATGGCCCAAGGGTGGCAGTGCCGGGGGGTGGGGCAGGGAGAAAGGAAATGAGAGTCCAGAGTGCTGGCAGCCATCAGCCCCCAGGCACACATGCTGCAGGTGGGGCCGGGAGAACCTCCCACTCTCTCTGAGGTCTCAGCCTGAAACACCCATCCCAGACTCCCGTCTGTACTTGGTTTACAGTACAGGTTGTTGGCTTCCTCCACCAACAACAGCATGAAGTTTAATGTAATATACCAAGTAGGCTAGGTCCCCAGGAACTTGGTCCAACCTAATACCAGCCTGAGTATTTCTGTGCAGATGTAGCCAGTTATGCCACATGCCATGTAGAATCATGGCTACATCAGCAGACATGGTATAAAGCACATGAGCCTCAGACCATGGCCGGCCTCAACCCATCAGGTGAAGCAGGCCTGAACAGAACATGGGCCAAAGAAAAAAGAGGAAAAAAAAGGGAGGAACAGGAGGAGGGACTGCTACAGCTGCCTACACTTGGCCTCTAGCTGCAGAGACCAGCTGGACTCAGCCTGCTGGCTTACCCCAAAGGTTTTAGCCTTTGCCAGTTTCCACAATCACATGACACAATTCCTTAACACACACATACAAGCATGCTCTCTTTCCCTAGGCAATGCTGACAAATGCAGGCCACAAATACAGGGGAACACAGCACCTCACTATGTGGAGGGCTCTCAGTCTGCAGGCTCAAGGAAGATTATGGAAATGACATAGGGGTCATTTCCATAATTACTCCAAGAGTCAATGGTACCCTGGCTGCAGCTCTGGCTCAGTCATGACCCAGTGACCCTGCACAACATTTCTCATATCTGAAAGAGGGTAAATTTCAGCTCATCGGAAGTCATTGCAAAGATTAAAATGAGACCATTTATATTGGAGGGCTGGCAGGAACATGTCCATGGAGAGCAGTGACTATTATTTCAATCTCAAAACACAGGTGTGTCCCACCTATCACTCCGTCAACCTGTAAGCACTGTAATCTATTAGCCAGAATTTATGATACTCCTTCCACTCAAGGCCCTTCAATCAGGCCACACAGGCCCTTGCCTGTCAACGCCCCACACACCAGGGCCTTTCTGTACCTTACCGGGTCTGTTTGCCTCACTCAACCAACACTCTTTGGAAAAAGAAAGGTGTCTTTGTTTGAACTTCATTGTTGCTTAGATCACTTTCCTACTTGAGAGCTGCATCAATCAAACAAAAACTTAATAAACACTCAGACCAATAAAAGTAACCTGTCCTGATAACCCAAAGCAGTTTAGAACTTGATGGTCATGCTGGGAAGGGGTGGGACAGATAAGAGCTGACTAGAGTGGTGAATCCCAGCTTCCTGCACCTAGAAGGTGCTGGCCAAAGCCATGTGATGACTGGAAGAGTCCCAGTCTTACTCTCTTAAGAGGTCCTGGGATCATGTGAGGACTGAACCCAGACACTGGTCTATGCAACCAGAACCCCACATTCTTAGGCTTGGAGTTGACCTTTCCAGAATAGCAGGTTTGGCTAAGGCCCCAGACACCCTTACAACGAAGATGTTAGATGGGTGATGTGCAATGGTTAGGCCACAACTTGGAGTGCCCATGGCCCATACTGGAGTGCCGCTCCCAGTCGTGGTTGCTGTTTCTGATCCAGTTTCCTGCTGTTGGATCGTGGGAGACATCAGATGATGCTTCAAGTGCTTGGGCCCTTGCCACCCACGTGCAGGACCTGAATACAATCTCCAGTTTCCAGCAATGACCTGGCCTAGCTCCACGGCTGCAGGCATTTGTAGTTCCTCTCCATCATCTCTGTGTGTGTGAATTAGCTTCTCAAGCTGATGAAAAGAAATGAACATTTAAAAACTGGCACTATGCAAGACAGGATAAGATAGGACAGGAAGACCAGGAAAAAAGGGCTAGTGCTGGTCATGCTGTGTTTATGGCAGGTATCAGAAATCAGCATCAATTTGACAGGTGTCACTTAGGGTTCAAGAAGCTGCATTTGAAATGCTTCTGAGGGTCCAATTTCTGGCTCTGAGGTCCCAGGCTGCTGTGACACATTCATACCAGCGCCTAGGCAAGAACAGTAACAATTGACCACTCAAACTCCCTGCCATCACAGACGCCATAGAGGACTGCATGGAACACGCAAATGCTGAGACTGAGCCAACCAACCACCTTCTACAGCTGACTGGTAAAAACTCTGGGAATGCCTATCTACCACTCACTCACTTATCAGCTCATCATTCCAGAGCAGGGTGGCAAGAGCAGCAGGGGTCCTGGCAGGCATAGGTGGTCTGGCCAAGCCCAAGCACGGCTTCCTCTACAAGGAGCTGTTTGTAGGCACAACAGGAACCTGCCTGCCACTGCTAGGAGCAGCAGGCATAGCAGTGCCATTGTCTGTCACCCCCTCCCCATTCATGCCCTTCTCCGAGGGGTGCATTTTGCATGTGGGGGCCTCAGTCCAGGGACCCAGGAACATCCACAAAGGGGACACTAGAACATGGAGCCAGCTGTGTGTGCGGTCAGAGGCCTTAACCTCAAAGAGCTCGAGGCCCTCTCCCATACCCACAGGAGGCAATAGACATGGGGAGGTATGGAAAAAGCAGATCAGGGACAGCCAGGTCAGCAGCTACACCATCCACACCAGAAGGCTGTGGCAACCCAGCTGCTCATGAGCCAGTCATGACACAGGCAGATGGTATGGGGACGACTGGACAAGCATGGGGGCATGCTGCCTCTGTGTTAGGCATAAGCCACACACCCTATCCTGCCACTTACGGTCCAGGCAGCTATGAGCCAGCTGCAAATCCTTGGAAATCTGATGAAGCCCTGGGATAACATTTTTGATAATCCTTGTAAAATATATAGGACATACAGTATACCACTTTAAACTGCAAAGCCATTTTTACTGGCATACAGACAGTTATAATCTTGTGC